TCTCTCGAACTTGCAGGGACCCCATAACTTGTCTACAAGGGCTACATGGTTCTGTAAGGGTCCCGCATCGTTGTTTTCTGTGGCTTACAAGGTTTGGGGCTTGGGTTTCATTAAGTAAGAACGCCTGTCGCTGCTGCTCCCGCCTGAATCGGGCTAGCGTTACGGGTTTTGGGTTCGGGGTACTACGCTGCAAGCTAACCTCAAGGGTGTTGGTTGGGATCGGGGTACTACACTGCAAATCCGAACCCTTATCTTGTCTCCGTTCTTACCCCGGTCAGTTAATTACATTGAAGGTCTTGTCGTTGCTGGTGGCGGCTGGGTGTAAAGGTTTGCAAGTTTGGGAAAGTTCTGACTCCAGAGTGTTCATGTAACTAACTAACTATCCAACTAATTAACCAACTAAGTAACGAACGCACGAGCTCACTAATTGCCTAACTAACCAACAAGATAACCAACTACATACATACATACATACATATCAGATAGAAGGATAGGGAGGTAGATAGGGATGTGCATTTGATGCCCCCGAGCTGCCGACCCCAGGTCAATCAGTAACCTCAGGCGTTCGTTTGTAGGGTTCGGGGCAGTTGTACGATCGGTTTTGCGAATATGAATGTGAATATGACGAATTAGCTGCGTGATCGGCTTAGGTACCCACGACCCGACTAGGTAAGGTTTGGGGCTTTGGGGTTTTGCGGTTTAAATAGGGTCTTGGAGCACTTGCGGAGTTGCAAGCAACTTTCCCCAGGCTGTTTATGGGGCTTCAGGTCTTCAACACATACGGCGTTGGAGTTTTGTCTTCTGCGTGTCTGTTCCGTGATAGTGTCGGTGGGGATCCCACTCGTTGGGGGTCCGCATTTGGGTGTTCAATGCAGAGTTTGTGGACGTTAGGGGTTTGGAAGTTCAGGATAAGATGTTCTCTAAGACATGCCTGTTTTCCGGTGTGGGGGTTTGGTGGGTTTCGCACTTTTTCGGCTGTGGAGAAAGGACAAGCCATGTCAGCGGTCGAGCGTTCACGATCCTGCAATATGTCGCCAGAACGCAACCCTCATGCCGAACAGTCGGAGCAACATGTCGTCAGAAAAGTGGGGGAATCAGTAACGAAGGTTGAGTGACGTGGTGTGTGTGTGTGTGTCTTCATTTACGTCTCTGCTCTGTCACAAGACTCCACGAGCCCCAGCAAGGCTGCGACCCTTTGCCTGCTGCTTACAAACTACATGTGTCCAGGAACATTGCAGAAGCCCTGTCGGATGATAGCCCCAGCCACCTAGCGCCTGGAGCATGCCTGTACCCCGTTTGTGGCTTATCAAGTCATGCGCCGGATGCCGACGACAGATCAAAGCCCCACGCTGACGTGTCGTCCCCGGCCGGGGCTGGGTCAGCGCGAGGACCTAAGGTATTGCAGATGGGGCTCTGTCACAATCGGATCTCGTCGTTGGATCCCTCCGGATGGTTTGTACTGAACCCTTGCTAGGACAGGCGGCACGCAATGAATTAGGCTTTCTCACCTTTCACCCTACAGAGTTTTGCTGACCTTGGTGTTTCACTGATCCTGTCCGAACTGGGCCTCGTAACTGGGTTTTGTGGCTCGTTGGATACAAGGGATCACGCAGATGCTCTGTCTGCTTGCAACAACCTGAATTGACGGTGCGCCGGACTTAGACTTGGTTTGGAGGGTGTTGCTTCTAGGTTGCTCAACGCAGTGGCTTCACAGGCGAAGCTGAGCACTCAGACACCTCGCCCGGATTGCCCAAGCTGTGAGAATCGAGGCAAAGGAGATAGGTGCTTGATTCATCGTTGCAAGGGTCGGCGGGAGGGTTGTTCCCGAACTGACCAGACCCAACTACCGGTCGGAAGGGTTCAAGGCAGGATGTCGGGCTTTGGGCCTTGGGGTTGAGGGTTTGGGTTTTATGGTGGGAGCCGTAACCTACCACTCCAAATAGCCCGAAGTGGGTGCTATTTCAATCAAAGCTTTGAACATCGGCGACAGCTAACCCAAAGGCCCAAGCCGAGCACCGAGCGATCCCAGCGGCGTTTGGCCGCCGCCTGAAAATGCAACCCCCAAACCCTTAACCTCACCTGGCGACAGTAACTGACACTTTGTACACCCTCCCGAGCGTGAGCTAGCTTGATTTTACTTTTTGCGGGGTTATGGGATTTTCCAGCCACCGGGCTTTGGAGTTTGGTCCGTAGTCCGGAACTTGGAGCGTAGGCTTCAGAGTTTTCATGATTAATGCGTAGGATTTCATGCTTTGGGCTTCATGTCGACGCCTGACATAACAGCAATCCTGGTTAAAGGACCACAGCTATCACGTTCACATCCTGGCTCGTGGGGCTCCAGAATCAGGGATCTACATCACTTCTCAAGGCCCAAGTTGATCCATTCACCACTTAGTGACTTAGTCTTTTCTTGGGGATCTACATGCATACAGCAGGCGAAGAAGCTACTGGTATTTCGCAAAGAGAGAGCACGGAGCCCTGGTTGTTTTGTTTCCAATACAGTCGTCAAGCGACCAAGAGCTCGGTGATCCAAGCTTCACAGGGAATTGAATGAGGCCCAGAACAACGCAATGAACCAGAATATTGCTGCTTGGAAGTTGAAGTTGTTTGGCAAATGTTTTTTCAAGAACCGCCATGGCAGGTGGACGAGCCGAGGACTCCGCAGAGACCTTGCTCGAGAAGTTTCGCAAGTTTCTCGCACCCGCTGTGGATAGACTCATGAATGAAACTTTCCAGTTGCGACGTCTGGGCTCTGATATCGAGTGAACGAAACATGTTTTCACGCCGCATAGAAACCTGAAAACCCATCCTCCAGCTACGTTCCGAGGGAGCCTCTGGAGGAAAGTTTCCTTGCGCTGCAGGGAAAGTTTGACCTGGACCTCCCCTGTCGATTCTTCGCAAAACTACCTGACCTCATTTCATTGATCTTACGATGGTCCACATCCCCTCGCCAGAAACCTAAACCCTAAAATCCCAAACGCCAAGCCAAAAGCGCAACACTTAAACTTAGCTTGATACCTTGACCACATTTGACCACTACCATTGAACGAAGATGCTCACGAACAGCAGCCATAGCGAAACGCGTTGCGTTCTTGTCCAAACCAGAGAAAGCACGTGCTCGTTTAGTCTGCAAGGACTCCCTGTCTTCAGGTTTCTAAATGTTTCCGTGAAAGGCAAAAACTGCCTATCCCGCAGGTTTAGAATCGGTTCGCCTGCTCACCAGAAACACAAAGGGAATACCAGGCCATGGTTTTGCCAGCTAGTGCAGTTGGTTCATCGGGGGAGCGCCGTCACATGGTCCTGAAAGCATTATAATATATGGCCTCAAGAAGGCACCACTGTACTGGTTCAAGGATGAACTGATGGCTGATGTAGAGCTTTGACTCGTTTGTGCGGATCCCCACTAGAGGGTCACAGTTAATAGAGGCCATCTTGTACTGAAACGCTCTGATCCCACCCTGCTTGCTCCCGCAGAACTGAAGCCAAGTGAAACTGCGTTGTTGCCCTTGCAAATGCAAGCAACTTTGTCAGCATCCTATGCATGATATTTCTTCATTGCATTACGCAAAGCAATGCGTTTCCCCGCTCTCCACATTGCACAAAGCACATGCGAGCCAATCTATACACAAGATGACGGTGGGCTTCCGGATTAGGGTTTGGCAAGAGCCACAGTCAAAGGACTAAAGGTGCGACCCTTAAAGGGACCTTGGGGTTAT